ACTACTTTAAGATGAAGGGGGAAAATTAAAATATGAATAATAAAATGGCAATAAATACATACCTATCAATAGTTACTTTATACGTGAGTGGATTAAAGGCTCCAATCAAAAGGCATATGGTGGCTGGATGGATAATAAAACAAGACCCTCACATATGTTGTCTGCAAGGACTCACTTCCAGTGGAAAGACACACATGGACTGAAAGTAAATGAATGGAAAAGATATCCAAAGGGAAACAAAAAAGCTGGGGTAGCAACACTTATATCAGACAAAATACACTCTAAAACAAAGGCTGGAGAGCCCTGGCTGGTGTGGCTCAGGGGGTTGAGTGCCGGCCTGCAAACCAAAGGGTTGCTGGTTTGATTCCCAGTCAGGACACATGCCTGGGTTGTGGGCCAGGTCCCCAGTAGGGGGAGTGTGAGAGGCAACCATACATCGAAGTTCCTCTCCCTCTCTTTCTTTTTTCCTTCCCCTCTCTCTAAGAATAAATAAATAAAATATTTTAATACAAAAATAAACAAAGACTGGGGGAAAGGGGGAAAAGGATTGAGCAAAAAACAAACAAACAAAGAACTAATGGATGCACGGATAACAGTGTGGTGATTGGAGGAGGGAGTGGTGTGGGTGGAGGTGGCAGAGGGTATAGGGGAGATAAATTGTGATGGAAAAAATAAATTTAAAAAAAGCTCTAGCAAGAGACAAAGAAGGACCCAGCAATTCCACTTTTGGGTATTTATCCAAAGAAATGCAAATATTTTTTCCTCTCGCTGGCTGGAATAATTACGTCAGGGGCTTAACTGGTTGTGGACAGGGACCTGGTACATTGAGGCACAAAATCCCTTCTGTGGAAGGAAGCATGGAAGGAGAAAAGGAGGAAACAAGGAAGGATCAGCCTGGACCCCAGGCCCTGCCGTGCCCCTGGGGCCGGGCACAGCATAAGGTCCCCTGCAGCACAGAGAGAAACTGCAGCTATTCTGATTAAGTCCCGCAGACTCATTGCCAACAGGAGCCAAATACACATCAGACACAGCTCCAGTGCCCAGCCCAGGGAAATGGGCGTTCATGTCCACGTTTCCACATTACTGCTCAGGGCGTGAGTTCAAGGCGGAAACTCAGCTCAGTAACTGTAATAGGAAAAGAGCGGCGGGTGTCCACACCTTTTGGGGGGGTTTGCATGAGATTTGGACCCTCTGTATTTAATTCTCACAAACTGGCTAAAGAGGGTGTGGGGTCAGTCCTGGCTGAGTAACTCTGTTAAAGCATCATTCTGATACACCAAGGTTGTGGGTTCAATCTCCAGTCAAGGCACCTACAAGATTCAGCCACACTTTTGTCCAGGTCTGTGAGTCCTTTTTCCTTCTTGCTCAATCCCTCTACCTGCTAACCTCCTCCCCCGCACTAGCTGTCATCCTGCTCTCCATCTATGAGACTGTCTCCATTTTTCTTTGTTGGTTCATTAGATTCCACATACAGAGTAGGGCATAAGGGAATAAAGTAACGTAAAAAATACAATAAATATTAAACTAAAAAAACAAAAAAAGAAAGGTGATGACAAAATATGGATGTTTTCAAAAAGTTATCACCAGCAAACATCTCGGCCACATAAATAAGTAAGTAAATAAATAAATAAATTTATAACTACATATTTTTAAAACTGAATTAGCCAATGAATGAATCAATAAGTGGAACAGCAAATCTCTCTCTTTCAAATCAGTAAGTAAAAAAAAATTTTAAAGCAACCAGTGAATACATAAGTGGAATAACAAATTAAAGCAATAAAAAAATAAACATAAACTAAAGGGGATGTGAGGTCTTATGACTGTTTTCTCCAAGCCTCCGTCAGTCTCCAGGTAACCACCTCCCCTCAGCACCATCTGTCCCTCTCTCCATCCCTAGCCCAAAGCCCCCCTCCTCCTCCAGCCTCTTTCCAAGCAAAGCCATTTACAGCCCCTTGTTACTTGCCCTCCTAGCAGCAGACCCCCCTGCCCCCCACACTCCTTCTCCTGACCAGGCACAGGCAACTGAGGGTAAGGAGCCAAATCAGGTCAGGAGCCCACAAGGCTCTTTGCTTGAAGTCCTCAGTTTCTCCTCTCACTCCTCGCAGGATTGGGACCAGAAAGGCCCCTTCTTGGGGGTGGGAGGATGCAATGAAGACAGAGAGGGAGACACAGATGGCAGAAAATGGGCCAGGGTCTCGGGGGCTGTGCACCCCAGAGCACCCCACAGAGATGAGGAGACTGGTCAGGCATTGGAGAAGCAAAGGGCAGGGCCAGGGGGACATGCCCTCTTCGTTCAAGGTTCTTTCTTCTGACAAACTGCGGCCGCTGGGCCCAAGAGGGAGAGAAAGACTGAGAGAGGTACATCGAAAAACAGGCCCTGGTCAGGTGGTTCCATTGGTCAGAGCGTCAGCCCCATATGCCATGGTTGTGAGTTTGACCTCCAGTCTGGTCACTTATAAGAATCAACCAAAGAGCTCTGGCTGGTATGGCTCAGTGGATTGAGTGCTGGCCTGTGAACCAAAGGGTCCCTGGTTCAATTCCCAGTCAGGGCACATGCCTGGGTTCAGGTCAGGTTCCCAGTAGGGGGCGCATGAGAGGCAACCACACATTGATGTTTCTCTCCCTCTTTCCCTCCCTTCCCTTCTCTCTAAAAATAAATAAACAAAATCTTAAAAATAAACAATCAACCAATGAGTGTATAAACAAGTGGCACAACAAATTTCTCTCTCTCTAATCAATGACTTTTTAAAAAAGAAAGAAAAACAGAAACAGTCCATGGAATATAATCAATAATATTGTATTAACTGTGGATGGGGCCAGGCAGGCACTGGGAATACCAGTGTGATCACTTCACGAGGTAGGTAAACATCTCATCACTGGGCTGTGTACCTGAAACTAATATAGTTCAGTATGTTCAGTGTCACTGAGAAATAAATGTTCAAAAATTAAGAAAAGAAAAACAGAGAAGGAGAGAGAACATCACATATGGAGACACACATTTTTTAATAAATTTTATTTATTTATTTTTAGAGAGAGGGGAAGGGAAGAAGAAAGAAAGGGAGAGAAACATCAGTGTGTGGTCACCTCTCGTGCATCTCCCACTGGGGACCTGGCCCACAACCCAGGAATGTTCTCTGACTGGGAATCAAACCACCGACTCTTTGGTTCGCAGCCTGTACTCAATCCACTGAGCTGCACCAGCCAGGGCACAGACACACATTTGATTTGTTCACCCAGCAAATACTGACTGGGGTCCAAACAAGGTGTTTCACACAGGAGAGGAGAAATGGAGGCAGCAAGATGGCAAGAGACTCATGCAGCTGCAGGGACACCCGGGAGAAATTGAGGCACAAACCTACTCGGATACAGAGAGACAGAGGGAGTGATTCTTTTTTTTTTTTAATCCTCACTCAAAAACATTTTTTTCATTGCTTTTAGAGAGAAAGAGAGAAATATCAGTGTGAAAGAGAAACATTGATCAGACACCTCTGTCTGTGCACTGACCTGGGATTGAACCCACAACCCAGGTATATGCTCTGAAGTGGGGATTGAACATGCAACCTTTTGGTCTATGTCATGATGCTCCAACCATCTGGGCCACCTGGCCAGGCTGGGGGCAGGGCATGATTCTTGAATAAAACTCAGAGTCTGCAACACTAGTCATAGAGGGAGGAGGAAGGCAGCATGCATCTGGGATAGAAAGGGGGAAACTGAGGCAGAGAAACTCTTCCCTGTGGGATGCGTCCCTGTCCCGACTTCACCGGCCAGTGAATAAAAGCCCCTGGCGTGGGTGACTCCTCACCCACACCCATCCTCCGCACTGGCTGTCCTCCCCTCACCTCCTCACCCTCCACCACGGCCTCGTCCTCTTGGCCTCTCCAGAGGCATAAAAGCTGGTGTCACAGAGCTGGACTCGCAGAGCCAGGAGACCTAGACCAACTCCAGGGAGGTGGAGCACCGGGGAGGGGGGTCAGCGGTGGCAGGGGTGCAGGGGACAGGGCAGGGCTGGGAATGGGTGGGAGGACTGTCTGACAATGAGGCACTTTCAGACAGTGAAAAACAAATGCTGTAATGGTATGAGCTCATTTGTGAGTGGAATAAAAAAAAAAATCATAGCCCTGGCCGAGTGGCTCAGTTGGCTGAAACACCAAAAGGTTGAGGGTTTAATCCTGGTTGGGACGCATACGGGAGGGAACTGATTGCTGTTTCTCCCTCTTCTCACTCTCTAAAATGAATAAATTTATTTCTGGGTGAGGATTTAAAACAAACAAAACTTCACAGAAAAGATCGGGTTGTGGTGGTTGACAGAGGTGGAGGTGGGGGAGGGGGTCAAAAGGCATAAACTTCCAGTTACAAGAAAAATTGGTGCTGGGGGCATAATGTAACTCTAGCTAACGACACTGTATTTGAACGTGGCTGAGGGAGTAGATCTGAAATGTTCTCATCACAGGAAACAAAGATTTTCATACCTAACCTGATGCACGTGAACTGAATTTATTGCAGTAATCATTTTGCAGTATATGTGAGCTAAGTAATTATGCTGAACACTTGAAAGCTAATGTCAATTATAACCTCAATAAAACAGGAAGAAAAACACGTCAGGCTAATGGCTCTCATGTTGACACAACAAACAAATAGCTAAAACAAACACAAGGAGATTTTGTCAGGCATTTCAAGGCTGGCTCTTGCCTTGAGGGTGGTTGATGGGCTTCCCCGGGCATGTGCCTGCATCCAAACTCAGCAAAATGATGACTTTGACATTGTTTGCATGTTGATTATACCCCCCAAAAGCTACAATGAAATAAAAGTGTGCAATGTTTTTGCATGTTGATTATACTCCTCAAAGCTAAAATAAAATAAACTCACCACCATCTCTTTGCAGTTTTTACAATGTGTACTTTTTTTCTGCATGTTGATTATGCCCCCAAAATTGAAATAAAAAACTCACCACCCTCTCTCGGAGGTGTTCTGCTGCAGACGCTCAGCCCTGCGGCCCAGCGATGGCTCCGTCTGTCTGTCCGGTCCTGCTGCTCACTGTCCTGCTCAGCCTGGTGGTGACCCCCTACTTGCTACCGCGGCCCTGGGTGAGCCGCCTCCAGCACCGGTTTCTGATGTTTCTGGCTGAGCCCGGGCGTGGGGGGAAAGATGTAAAAATAGGTCCAGAAAGACAAGGAGTTGACTTCCTCTCCTTGGCTCACGGGGGTAGACTAGAGAATCCAGCTGAAGTCCAGGGCGTCAGGGTTCAGTTTACTCAAAGGAAAAAACGTCCTGAAGATTAGCATCGCTCCCGCTCCGGAAGACGCCACCCAAGCCCCCCGCTCCCCCCACCCCCCGGAGCCGGCCTAACTGCCCCAGGGGAGGGCGTGGTCCACATGCGGAGGACTCAGTCCCACCTCAGCCTTTCCCTTCAGGAGCCCTGGTCCCTAACCCCTAACTCGTGTCCCAGACCACACTGTGAGGATCTCTGGTTCTGGGCGGTGGAGACCCCCACTGAGGTACAAATCCTGGTTCTGCAACTTTTTAGCAGCAGGAATTCTGGCAAAACTGCTTAATCCCTTTGTCCCTGGAAGTTCTTTGTAAAACTACTGAACTGTTAGCTCTGTTGGTTAGAGCATCGTCCTGATATGCCAAGGTTGTGGTTTCAATCCCCTGTCAGGGCACATACAAGAAGCAACCAAAGAGTGCATAAATAAGTGGAAAAACAAGTTGATCTATCTCTCTCTCTCCCCCTGCCCCTACTTCCTCTCTCTCTCAAATAAATTTTTAAAGAACTAGAGGGTGAACTGAGTTCATCCTTGCAAGATCCTGGGAGGGGGGAGGTGGCACATTGACATTACCCCTGACTTGTGGGGTGCCCGCCACCTTCTCTGTCTCTTTGGGTCTTGATCTCTCCATCTCTGTCCAGGGCTGAGGCGGCTGGTCGCCCAGAGTGCTGGCTACCTTCTGGGTCCCGGTGAGTGAGCCTCTCTGAGCGCTCCATCCCTGGCAGGCTTGGACCCTCAACCCACATCCACTAAAGTCCACGGGTTTCATTCCCAAGCTGAAGTCAGAGCACTGGGTTCAAGTCCCAGCTCTGCCACTTGCTTGGTGTGTGACTTTCACCTCCCTCAGTTTCTTCATCTGTTGCAATGGGTACAAGATGGCTCTTGCCTCATAAGGATGTTGGGAAAACTCCTCCATCCCTCACTCCCCATGTCTCCATGAACATCCTTACTGGGTGCTTGTCAATGTGCTGCCTAGTGGCAATCTCGTGACATGAGGAGAACCCCTGTGGAGCTCAGAGCAGGGTTTATCCTGGTCCTCATTTGATGATCCAAGCAAACCCTGCCTCCCACCATGGTGTGGTGGAAGGCACCTGAGACCCGGATCCAGATGGATCCAGGCATGTTCAGATGCCATTTCTGCCACTTGGAGTGGTCCTTGTGAGCAGGTGAATTTCCTTCCCAGAGTCACAGTGTCCTTCCTCACTGGCAAGTAGGGATGGTCACAACAGAGTTATCATTACCCTCCAAGGACCACCCAGCCTTGTTCTCCTTCCAATTCTCAGCCCCAGTGCTCCTGCTCCAGAGTGCTGAGCAGGACGGGAAGAAGGTGACAACCCTACAGACCCTGTGGAAGGCCACCGGTGAGTCACCTTCATTACTGCCCTCCCTGTCCCCACTGAGTCTTTGGGAATTGACCGCTGCGGGGGCCATGCACTCCTTGGAAGACTGTTCAAATGCTCAGACAGGAGTCAGCATAGGGGAGGAACAAAATGAGTCATGGTTGTTATTTGTAAAGTTATACACTTTCAAGACCCCCTCCCCAGCCACTTCCCCCTGGTTGCCCCAGCTCCTGCTATTTCCTCTTCTTGCCTGACCATGTAATATCTTTGAGATTTCCCTCCCCTTCTCACTCCACATCTTGAGGGATAGGATCTCAGAAGTGCACAGGGGTTTGCACACCGGAGTATGTCCACAGTGAGTGCAGCCTGTGAATGGGACCTGATTTTCTCATGGTTGGCACCTGAAAAAATGGGGTCAGTGGAGTGTATCTGAGGCAGGATTTTCAGCTTCTGCAGTGTTCACATTTGGGGCTGGGTCCTCCTGTACTGTGGGGGCATCCTGTGCATTAGGGGGTGTTTAGCAGCATCTTGGCCTTCCCCCACTAGAGGGCAAAACAAACTCCAAGTTGTGATGACCAAAATGTCTGCAGACATTGTCAATTGTCCCGAGGGGGGCAAAATCACCCCTCAATGAGATCCACTTAGTACTTTAATCCCAAGAAAATAAGGAAGTAGTATAAAGTCCTGTTGAAGACAGACTGATTTTTGGCTTTGTTCCTAGATGAGTTGCCCTATTTCCACCCTCAGCCTGTCTCCAGGAGGACTTGGAAGGAGACTTTCGCCAAACCAGAGATTGGAGGTAAAGGCAGGGGACATATGGGAGAAAGAAATAAACATGAGAAGGAGAAAAGTGAAGTGGCAGACAGAGCACTGAAAGTCAGGGAGGGTGGAGAAGAAACAGGGATCCACCATGAACCCCCCTTACAACCACCACCCCTACTCTCAACTCAGAATGTCCATCTGGCCTGAAATCTACTTTCTTGAAACACTGGGTCCCTTTCACTCTGGGAGCTTTGCATCCACTATTGGCTCAGTCTAGAAAGTTCTGGTTGTAGAGCTTTGCACTGCCAGATCCTTCCTGTCCTTCAGAAATCATTTCAGTCTCCACTTCCTCCTCAGATGTTTTCCCTGAAACAAAGCTCCTTTTTCTCTATTTTTTTCCATCTCATTATATTCCAACAGTAACATTGATCACTGTATGACTCCTCCTTGCTTCATATATTTATCTGTTCATTCTCCACCTTCTCCCAATAAAATCTACAGCTCCATTTGAGGAGAGAGCTCCTTTGTCTTGCTCACTGCCTAGTATAATGAGTCCTTAGTAAATATTTGTTAAGTAACTGAACTAAATGCCCGAGTATAGGCTGCACATGCCACCATCCCACCCAGCCATGATCAAGATCAATGCTCAAGCTCCAGCTTTGCTTGCCTTCCTACAGTTGGTTGTTCAGCCCCATTCCATTTCCTTCTCTACTTTTTTGAAATTAACCCCATGGTTTTATTTCAACTGCACTTAATTCATTTGAAAAGCATATATTGAACATTTACCACCCAGGAGATGCCATGTCTTCTGAATTCACTCGTTTCTGCCCAACCTTGAAAATACCCATAACCAACATGTGGCTTCTTGACATAGAGGTGGAGTCTTGGCAGAGCAGCTCAGCTGGTTAGAGTGTCGTCCCAATGCACCAAGGTTACAGGTTTGGTGTTAGTTCAGGGAACACACAGGTATCAACCAATGAGTGTATAAATAAGTGGAACAATAAATTGATGTTTCTCTCTCTCTCAAGTCAATCAATAACTTTAAAAAAATAAATAAAACATGGAGTTGGGACAGGGGAATGTGTGGGTGGATGAAAACAAAGAAAAGGTTGAACAAAAATGGAAAAAGGGGGAGGAAAGGGAAGGCTGTTGGATCTGAGATGAACTAAAGAGGTCTTTCTCCCCAGTTCCACCCCCAAGCTCAGGGAGTAGTGGGGCGCACACCTAGTCTAAATCCACCTCTTTCTTGCCCCCAGATCTGGGTGTGCTCCACAAGAACATCCCCAAGGAGGAAGTGGTCCTGCCTTCATAGGCATCTCCAGATTCTACTCCTCATCATTCTCCTCTGTGACTCCTTCTGAGACCCAGTCTAGACCCCTCTACCCAGACAAAGATCCTGAAATCCCATCCCCAGATTTCATGAAGAAAATTTGGAACATTTGGTGAATTTGTCTCCAAAGTCCCTGACCTGTGTCAGGTTTTACTGATTTATTTTAGGAAAAAGTATAAAGTAAGTGAACAGAGTCAAGAATAATTCTGGAACCACTTAGCAAATTCTGGGGCCAATAGGGAAGCATTCCTGCAGTCCATTGGAAGTACCTGTCTTCTTTGGGAATCATTTGATCAGAACATGAGCTCTTGAATGATACAATATTAATGTGCCTTTCCACTCAGAGAGGCTATGACATCTTGACTTGAAAAGATTCTCCAAAATATATCATGCTTGCCTTTCAAGGTATGAAGCAGAATGGAGAGAATAATTTTTCCAAAATAATCAATGTCTTCTTTTATTAATTAGTATGGTAATTTATTGGGGGTAGCAAAATCAAGGATGATAGGGTCAGGTGTGGGAATAAGTTTTTGGAAACAAGAGATCTTGGGTTATCTAATGAAAGGACCTAAATTTAATTCCAGTTTCTGGCTGTTGTCCATTCCTGGGTATCTGACCTTCTCTGTGTTTCATGGTCCATTAGTTGTTTGTTTGTTTGTTTTATCCTCACCTGAGGACATTTTTTTCCATTGAGTTCAGAGAGAGAGAGAAAGGGAGAGAGAGAAACATTGATGTGAGAGAAAAACATCGGTAGGCCTTCTCCCATATGTGCCTGGACTAGAGTGTGGAAACCACAACCCAGTCATATGCCCAGACTGGGAACTGAACCCCCAACCTTTTGGTGTACTGGTGAATGCTTCAACCAATTGAGCCACAGGGGCCAGAGCAAGTTTTACACTTTCAAGTGGTAGAGAAAGAACAAAGCAGAATGATGTAGGCAGAGGCTGCAAAGCCTAAAATGTCTTTTAAAAATTTTTGTTTATTAATTTGAGGGAGATAAAAACATGGATTTGTTGTTCCATGAATTTATGCCTTCTTCTTGTATGTGCCCTGACAAGGGATTGAACCTGCAACCTTAGCATATCGGCACAATGCTCTAACCAACTGAGCTACCCAACCAAGGCAAGCCTGAAATGTTTATTATTTCACCCTTGACCTGGAAAGTTAGCCAATCCTAGCTGCAATAACTCCAACACAATAAAAATGTTTTCTTCTTCACCCAATGTCCCAGGAGGGTATCTCCAGTCAGCCAGGGATGCTCTTCTCATGACGGAGACACCCAGATTCATTCTACATAGCGGTTCACCTGTCACTTAGAGTCTTGTCTTTGGTTGCACTCAACCAGTGGGAGGGGAAGAGAATATTGCCGGGGGAGGGGGAGACCTGTGCTTCATTTTCACCATCTGGCCACCCTTGGCTACAATGCACAGTGGGAGACAGGGAGGTCTTTGAAAGGACAGAAGACCCTCATTCCAGGTGTGAGTCACCCTTCATGTGTCCTGGTGACTCCCGGCAGGTGAGAGACCCATCTCCTGTGCTCAGAGGAGTCAGGTGAAAGACACACCTGAGGAAGGAGGAGAGAGGTGCACACTTGTCTGGCCACCGTCCTTCCTTCATCCACTTCCCCAAACTAGTCTTTTAAAAATACTTAGAAATGGTTTGGTTGTGATAAACTACATGTAACATGAAGTTTATCATCTGAACCATTTTAAGCGCACAGTCCAGAGTTACTACCGATATTAAGCACCTTCATAATATGGTTCAACCATCACCACCGCCCGTCTCTGTCTCCAGAGCTTTTCTCATCTTGCAAAACAGACACTCTGTCTTCATCAAACAACAGCTCCCCCTCCCTCCCCCAGCACCCGGCACTCACCATTCTCCTTTCCGTCTCCAATCCCAGTATTTGTGCTTTTGAGTCTAGTTTATTTCACTGAGCATAATGTCCTGAAGGTTCATCTGTGTTACAGTGTGTGAGAGGATTTCCTCTTTTTTTGTTTAGAATTTATTTATTTTATTTTTAGAGAAAGGGGAAGGGAAGGAGAAGAAGAGGGAGAGAAACATTAATGTGTGGTTGCTTCTTGTGCGCCCCTTACTGGGGATCTGGCATGCAACTCAGACATGTGCCTTGAATGGGGTGATCCTTCCATTCACAGTTCAGCACTCAATCCACTGAGCCACCCCAACCTGGGAGGACTTCCTCTTTTTTTTTTTTTAAAGCTGAATAATATTCCATGTCTCTTGGAGAAGCCTTTAAAAAAACCCTCTCTAAGCCCTGACCTGTGTGGCTCAGTGGAGAGGGCATTGTCCTCCAAAGTGAAAGGTGGCTGCTTTGATTCCTGCTCAGGGCACATATGTGTGTTGGTGGGTTGGGTTCCTGATCAGTGAGTATAGGAGAGGCAACTGACTAAAGTTTCCTTCTCACACTGATGTTTCTCTCCCTTCCTTCTTCTCCTCTCTCTGCAAAGACAGAGAGAGAGAGAAAAAAAAATCCTATCTAAGCCTCGCTCCAGGCCAAATAACTCTCTGAGGGTGGGGCAAAGGCACCAACCAGATTTTTTTGTTTGTTCTTTGGGCTAAAGTGATTCTATTATCTGATGTTTAAGGAGTGAATGTTTTCAAAGCTAATCTCCATGTGGAGGGGTGTGTGGAGGGTGCCACATTTGCAATTTTAGTGGTAGCATTACAATAAAGAGAGAGTTAACAGTGGATTGATCCCCTTATCTCTCCCCTAGGGTGTTGCTACTAAAACGGATTAGTCTCCAGCTGAACATGCTCTGCCAGGTTTATCAACTACAGACACTACCCTAATCCCAGGCTTTCTCAGCCTTAGCACTACTGACATTTTGGAGGGGACCACTTTGTTGTGGGGCCGTCCTGTGCATTGCAGGGTGTTGAGCGGTGTGCCTGGCCTCCCACTCACTAGATGGCAAGAGCATCCTTTCCCCCATGTGACAACCAAAAATGTCTAGACATTGCCTGATGTCCACTAGACATTTTACAAGTATCCATTCGGTCCACGCAGTTATCCTGAAGTGAGAATCCCCATGCAAAAGGATATTAACTCACAGGCCAAATAAGAAAACTAACCCAGAAAGTAAAGACTATAAAAATGGAGCACAAACCAAAGATAAGGAAAAAAAAGGAAAAAAAAACCACTGGTGTAGATACTTTCAGAAACAGGACTATTTGAACCATCATTCAAGAAATATGAATACAAATAACAAACATCAGGAAAGGAATCAGCCAAAAGCAATAAGAATAAAATTTAAAAACATCAATGTAGTTGAATATCAGTTAAAATACATATATTTTACCTATTATATATAATAGGTAAAATAAAAAAAAACATTAGTTGGGACATAGGGTAGAATGAATGCAACAGAAAAACAAATTAAAGAGAAGAAGATGATATAGAAGACTTTTCTTGCAACCAGAAGGTATAAAGAAATTAGTGCAGTAATAGGATTTGTAGGAGAACAGGACTTCCCCCAAAGAGGAGAAAATACAAATGGAGAGGATGAAATATTTGAAGAAATGATGATTAGGGAGTTCCCGTGAGCTTTCATCCAGATCCCTAGTGATTTCATCTTACATACCCCTCCTAAAACAGGAAGGCAGCAAGGGCACAAAACTATTAACTAAATAGATTGTATTTGGATAAGCAGAGCAGAGAGACTAGGGGTGCTGGGTGGGAAAGCAAAGCAAACAAATCAATATTTCCAGGGATAGATTTGCTATGGAGACATTTAAGGAGGCATTCTGTCTGGTCAGGGACATGGCTGGATCCTTGATGACTTCCCATCTCTTCGTTAAGAAGGATTCGTGAACATTCTATGCTGAAACAAAATGAGCTCAGAGTTTTTATAGACCTGCCAAAATTAGCCATTTTTAGCTCAGTTGAGACTTTACAGCAGATCTAAAATTAAAATAATGAAGGTCAGAGTGCTGTGAACTTAAACTGGCTCTAAAAATGTGGAGTTCAAAAACAATATTTTTGAAGGCTACGCACTAAGAGATGAATTTTTAGAAAGAAAGAGTCAGATGCATTGGGTAGGTAGATGGTGGTGTGGGGCAGAGCCCAGTTAATTCTGGGTCTCGTCATTATTCATGCTGACTTGTGGACATAACTTCCATTGTTCTAAGGGGGAAAAAAGGCCAGAAAACATCAGAAAATAATCATTACAATTTGGGGGTCAAAACAACCTTCTACTCTTCTACACCCCACACAAGGTACAGAATAACCTCCCCAGTCCCATTCTACTCACAAGGAGTTTGAGATTCGTAGGGTTGAAAGACTGGTTTTAAGATTCCATATATATCTAAACCAAAATCAGTCCAAAGCCAACCACTCTCCAATTCATCTAAAAGGTTAAATAAAAAACTGGTTTACTGTTAACCTGCCACAAACAACTCGCTATTTGAATGGATTTGTTCTGATTTGATCAACACTAGGAATTTTCCAAACCACTGATCCAATTACACCCACTCCTTGATTAAAGTTCAACATTGACTCAGTGATTCAAACAAAAACATTCATAGCCCACCCTCCCCATTATAGTTTTTCAGATTTTATAGCGTCTAATTTGCAGGAACAAAAACCAAGGTCCATGTAGAGTCCCACTCTCTCTATAAACCCCCCTTTCCCAACCCTGGGGAGAATGAAATGGAAAGTGGTATCTGTGTGCTTTTTCCTGGTTTCTATTGTTTTTATTTTTAAAAAACTAATTTTAAAAGTGTATTGATTTTACAGAGGTAGAGGAAGGGAGAGAGAAATCAATCTGTGGTTCCACTTATTTCTGCATTCATTGGTTGATTCCTGAAGGCACTCTGACTGGAGGTTGAATCCAAAACCCTGGCATATGGGCTGGACTTTCTAACCCACTGAGGACCCAGCCAGGGCTTAAAAAACTATTTCCATTTTTGTCTCTCTAGTTTTTAGAAGAGGTTAAGTTGACTAATATCAAACCAGTCATTGAATCTATTTTGAACAACAGTTTAATGTATTAATTTCAAGACACTAAAAACAGATTTAAATGTTTTTAAAATGACTCTTCTTTGTGTATGAATAGTCACTATTCACTTGTTCAATATCTTGGTTTGCTAAGTTGGTATGAGATCATTGTTTTCCTCTCCTGGTGTTCAGCCTCTGGTTTGCTATGTATCTTCTCAGAAACACGTTCTTCTCAAACTTTGTCATTTTCTTTATTTTTTATTTTAAAATGTTTATGTATTTTTAGAGAGAGGGGAAGGAAGGACATCTTATTTTATTTGTGTTTTATTTTTCTATTTTTATTTATTTATTTTTAGAGACAGGGGAAGGGAGGGAGAAAGAGAGGGAGAGGAACATTGATGTGAGAAAGAAATATCACTGGGTTGCCTCTTGTACATGTCCCGACCAGGGACGGAACCGCCAACCCAGGCATTTGCCCTGACCGCGAATCAAACGCCGGACCTTTCGCTTTGCTAGACAATGCCCAACCCACTGATCACATTACAAGGGACAGAGGATCTGTTGTAAAATTGTACCCTTGAATCCTATGTAATTTTATTAACTAATGTCACCCCAATAAACGCAATCAAAATAAATTTTAAAAAAGGTTTTTAAAAAATCATTTACAACTAACAAAAACGTAGGTGATCGATCTCAAACTGGTTAGAACCTGTAGATCTCTATTTCTTTGTGATATTTGTCTACGGCTTTGTATATCTTGATTCCTTCAAACACTTCAGCTGTATGATAAATACCGTAATTCACTAGACTAGACCAAGGCAATAAATGTTGGGTTCAATGGAGGGTTATTTTTTTCTCCTGTGAAGTTTCAGCGGGAAAAATTAATCAACGCTGATAGTCTAAATGAGTGGGTGGTCCCATGGCCTTCGACCAATCCCAGGGCTGACAGAGAACAGGGGGTGGGGCCTGGAGCTTCTGTATAAATGGAGACCTTTCATGGCATGGCACAGTTAGTCCAGCTCCAGATTCAGGGTGACTTAGACACCAGGGACGCGGAGAAGACTGGAGAAGACTAGGAGGAGGTAAGGCCGGGCTGGGGATGTGTGAGGGCGTTTTGAAATGAGGATGGATTGAAGTGGGCTTCAGGAAGATTTGGGTTTATGTTCATGGTGCATTATTTCGGTGATCTTGGGAAAACAAGGTGTCTCCCTTGTTTCCTGTTCACTCTGATTTCTTGTATAACTCCTGGTTTAACATGTGTGGTGTGGTTTTACGTTTTTATTTTAGTGCCTGATTTTATTTTATTTCATTTTTTTTTCATTGAGGGACTGCGTATTTCTCTTTTCAACTTTACTTATCAGTTACCGTTGACATAGAGTATTATATTATTGTAGTTTCAGGTGTACAGTGTAGTGATTAGACATTTGTATAACTTAAGAAGTGATCCCCCAAATAAGTCTAGTACCTGCCTGGCAGCATCCATAGTTATTACAATATTATTGACTATATTCCCTGTGCTGTACTTTACATTTCTGTGAGTATTCTGTAACTACCAATTAGTACCCCTCAATCCCCTCACCTCTCTCATCCTGCCCCCCTCCTCCAACCCTTCTCCTCTCTGGCTACCATCAGTCTGTTCTCTGTATCTATGAGTTGGTTCTGATTTTGTTCTTTAAATCCCACTGATGAGAGAGATCCTATGGTGTTTGTTTTTCTCTGACTGAGTTCACTCAGCACAATGCCCCCCAGGTCCATCCAAGTTGTTACCAATGGCAAGATTTCATTCTGAATGATGGCTGAGTCATATTCCATTCAGTAGAAGCACCACTTGTTTATCCAACCATTTCTTGATGGGCTCTTCAGTTGCTTCCATATCTTGGCTCTGATTTTTATTGCTTCCTGTGATTGCGTGTTTTTCTTTAATGTGAAAGGAACCTGGAGGGATTAAAAATGACCAGTGGAATCACTGCCTTCTCCCTGATGGCAAACAACCTGAAACCCCTTAATTCTCAGGGCTTCAGACAGTCTTTTCTCCCATCCCAAAGTTTGTGGGAGGATGTGTTCACCTTCCAGAAAAGAAACTCTAGGGGTGCTCCCCTTCCCCACCTGTCCTAGGAGTTCACCTTCCTGACTCTCAGTGACCTTGCCCAGACCTTCAGAGAGACCCCCCCGCACCGCCATCTCTGGCTGGAAGGAAGGTTCTTGTTTTTCCCTGGCTGTTTTCCTTGGAATCAAATGCATCTCTGGAGAAAATAGAAAATGGCTTTTTGGCTTTAGGAGGTAGGTTCAGGACCCAGGCATAACTTCTTTCTAAATATCTTGATTAATGGAAATTCCAAAGGCCATTAGGTTTTAATCCCTTTTCTGGAATGAGATTAAGTATGGGTGATTCAGCACTGGCTGTGTGACTCAGTGGATTGAACATGGGCTACAACCAAACGGTTACTAGTTGATTCCAGGTCCAGGCACATGCCTAAATTGCAGGCCAGGTCCCCTGTGGGGGCCACATGAGAGACAACCACACATCGATACTTCTCTCCCTCTCTTTCTCCCTCCCTTCCCCTCTCTCTAAAAATAAATAAATAAAATAGTTTTTTCAAAATGTATACAGGGTTCTGTTAATCCATTAATCCCATAATCCCAGCAGCACATTGTGCTGTAGGGGGTTGGGAGTGGGTGAGCAGGAACTAGAGGATTGTTCCATGCTACAAGGTTACCTTTTGTGGTAATGAAAAATGAGGTTCAAACAAAAGTGGGAATGCATTTAGTGGCACAAAACCATAAACTTTAAAAAAGAATTAAATGAGTGAATTTTTTCCTGTGTATTTTACCACAATATCAAAGTATCTGTAGGAGTCTAACTCTATCTAGTAGGATTTGTGTGTGTGTGTTCTCCCTTCCCTGGGACAAAGAAGGAAAAGAAGAAACTGTTAGGGGACAACCCTGGGTTAATATTTTCCATGTTTCCCCTGGCCAGGTGGCTCTCAGTTGGCTGGGGTGATTATCCTGTGCACCAGAAGGTTGCTGGTTCAATTCCCAGTGGGAGCGAAAAGAGGAGGTAATTGATGTTTCTCTGTCACAGTGCTGTTCCTCTGTCTCCCTTCCTCTCTCTCCAGTCAATAAGCATCCTCTGATGAGGATTTAAAAATAAATCTTTCCCTTGTTATTACACCACATGCAATTCCCTGGTTGTAAATATCTTTCTGTATCTTCCTACACAATCATGGCTGATACAGTGATTAAAAACTACCAATCTATTCTCTGTTCAGAGGTGTCAAACTCATTTTCACTGGGGGCCACATCAGCCTCACAGTTGCCTTCAAAGGCTGAAATAGATTTAGGACTGTATAAATGTAACTACTCCTTAACTCTTAAGGAGTTGAAATCACACTCAGCCCTTTGAAGACAAATGTGAGTTTGATGTGGCCCCCAGTGAAAATGAGCTTGACACCCCTACTGTATCATATCTTGATGAAAAGCTATATAAGGTGATGTCATTATTAAAACAGAGTTTAGAAGCATCACACTTCATGACTATATTTGATTTAGAGTATAGGATAAACAATATTGTCCCAACTCACAGATGAGAATACTGAGCCCCCCCCACCTGTGTACATTTAGGAGCCAGAATCTAGAGGGCCATTCAGGTACAAATAACCAGCATCTCTAATCAAATATGAGCATCAGAGAATAATAGTATGGGTGAACTTCCAGGGTATTAAGTGTGGGACCAGCGAGGGGTGTCTCGTATTGTGAGGACAGTTTTTGAGGGGAGGGAAGGGTGGAGTAATAGGTTAAACTCATTTTATTCTCCTTCCCCCATTGCTCAGCTTCTGGATTTATTACAGAGTCAACCCCTTCCTTGGGTCTCCATTAGTTGCTGGCTTTGGGAAGTTTGCTCGAGTGACATTGAAACATTTTCTAGGGAGTATGGCTGCACACCAGTCCCACAGGGAGGAGAACATCGGCTGGATCACGGTCCACTTGGACGAGGAGCAGCAGCATCAGGGCTTCTCTGCCTCCTCCACCACCATCCTGGACGAGGAGCCCATCGTGAGCAGAGGGCTGGCGGCCGCGCTGCTCCTGTGTCAGAAGAAAGGGCTGCTGGAGACCACAGCGCAGAAGGTGGCCCAGGTGAAGGCCCCCAGTAAGGCCCTGCCGTCAGCGGTGCACTGCACTGAAGACAAGACAGCCATCGGTGACGAGCGCAGCCAGTGGGAGGAGTTCCACGGCTTCACCCGGGACTTCAAGGAGAAGGACGGCTACCAGCCCCACGTTCGGATCGAGTACGTGGATGAGACGGGCCGGAAGCTCACCCCTAAGGAGGCTTTCCGGCAGCTGTCCCACCGCTTCCACGGGAAGGGCTCAGGCAAGAAGAAGACAGAGCGGCGGATGAAGAAGCTGGACCAGGAGGCGCTCCTGAAGAAGATGAGCTCCAGCGACACGCCCCTGGGCACCGTGGCTCTGCTCCGGGAGAAGCAGAAGGCCCAGAAGACACCGTACATTGTGCTCAGTGGCAGTGGGAAGAGCAGGAACGCCAACACCATCACCAAGTGAGGCCATCCTTGCTTCCAGTCCCTGCCCCGACTTTAATATTAAATCAAGTTCCCTTCTGAGCCCTGGCTGGTGTAGCTCAGTGGACTGAGCCCGGGGTGGGAACCAAAGTGTCATCAGTTCGATTCCTAGGCAGGGCACATGCCTGGCTTGTAGGCAGGGCCCCAGTGGGGGGTCACGTGAGAGGCAACCACACATTGATGTTTCTGTTTCTCCCTCCCTTCCCCCCTCTAAAAATACATAAATAAACTCTTAATAATAAAAAAATTAAGTTCCCTTCTTATTTTTTCAAAAAAGAAAGAAAAAGAAAAAATTTCCAGTGACTATGGCTGCACACCAGACATTCCCGTGTGCTCCTGGAAAACCCCAAGAAGGCCAGGGACCACATGTGCCATTGTCTGCACTGCCCCAGGGAAGCCTTCCTGGCAGGCAGGGCCAGGACTCGGAGATGTGGCATGTAGCCTTCAGAGCCTTCACCAGCTTGGAGGACTCAGACCCAGTCCAGGATCTGCGGAAACTCTGAGCTCTGCTGTCCACGGGTGAGGCCTGACCTGCACACTGGGGAAAAAATTCTGGACAAGCTGGTGTTGGAGCAGTTCATGATCTCCATGCCCCTGGAGCTCCAGGTCTTGGTCAAGGATCACAATGTACATAGTTGCAAAGACTTGGAGGACATCCTGAAAAGTCAGGAGAAACCTAAGACATGGGTGAGTAGGAACCTCAGGGTTGGCATGGGTAAGGGAGGGCAGGCATGGGGGCTGGACTGGAAAGGGCAGGTGGGATTGTTTCTGTGTCTTTGGTTCTCCAGTGGGGACCCTTGGAGATATCTGGACACATTTGGGTTGTCACGGTGGGGGGCAGAGAGCATGCTAGAGGCCAGTGGTGCTGCTCACATTGTGTACTGCACAGGACAGAACCATGCAGCCTTGAATGTGGACTGTGTCGAGGTTCAGCAACCCCAGCCTGTGCCCACACAAAGTGTGAGTGTCGGGTCAGATGCATATAAAGAATATGATGCATGTGGTTCTTATGTTGTGTGAAGTTCTCCCCACAGACTATAGTCAGCATTGAAGGACAGAAGTTTCTGGTGCACAATTCAGATGTCCAGATGGCTGGAGTAAAAGCTGGTGATGAGGATCCTGTGAGAGACTTGTCCATGAAGTCCCGGTCCTTCGTGTGTGAGGTGGAGGTACATGGCAAGAACAACCGGGAGGTCAGCCAGGAGCCAGAGAATCAGCCAGAAATCAAGGACATGTCAAGGGAGCAGGTAAGTGTGTGATGCCAGGACCTGCGGGGACAGGTGGGAGAAGGTCCAAGAGGAAGAAGCCGTGGGTGGAGTAATGGGGTCATTGGGCCCAGGACAGAACAGGACCCGTTAAATGCATCCCAAGAAAACATTCAATTCCTAGACATTTCTGAGGTCATGTGGACAAGAAAGACTCACCAACCTTTGCCCCTCCCACCCACACAGGCCAGTGATGTCAAGGCTAATTTTCTTCAAAAGGCATTTCAAGAAATGATAATTGGCCAAATGACCCATTTTTGGAATATTGCCCATTTCTTACCATGAAAGGAGTTGGTTCTTCCCTGGAGTCCTTTGACCGCCAAGGGGACCTTTGGCAATAGTGGAAGACACTTTGGGTTTTCCACCTGGGTGGGAGATGCAAGTGCTGTCCATGGAGCAGATGACAAAGCCCCTGTCCAATGTCCTAAATGAACAACACCAGAATCCACCCAGAATGTAAACAGGGATGACTCAGGACATCTGGAGCTAGAATCGCTGTGCTCCCACAGTTGGGAGCAGGGGGCATGTGGGGTGTCCTGAAGAGGCACACTTAGAGAATTAAAGTAAAAACTGTGAGATGCAGCCCTGACTGGTGTAGCTGCATGGGGTGTGTATTGTCCTGCAGACTGACAAGTTCAATTTCCGGTAGGGCACATGCCTGGGTTGTCTGCCAGGTCCCTGGTGGGGCAACTGAGTGGCAACTGATGGCTGTTTCTGTTGCACATCCATATTTGAAAAAAAAAAAAACCAAAAAACCCTGTTAGTATAAACTTGACTGAAATGTGTGGTGGGTACAAACAACAGGGAGTCGAGTGAGGGTTACCTGGGGCGATGGAGTGACCCCAAGAAAGTCTGGGCAGAGCCGCAGAACTGCACCATTAGGACAGCTGGAGTCTCAGAGCAGGGAGCTGGGTAGGTCAGGGGAAGAGGAGTTGGAGCTTTCTATGCCTGAATGTAGACACAGCCATAATCTCTGTTGGTTGTCAGGGACTGACAGTTCTCCTGCCAGAGACCATCCCCGAGGAAGGTGACCTGGAGGGAGTGAGACCCACTCAGATGCTGGAGGAGGACCCAATGGAGGATCAGGAAGAGAAGACAGTGCTTCCACCTGCAGAGACTCTGCTCTCGAGGGGTCCTGGTGAGTGTGGACACGGGGGCTTCCGTGGAGTTAGTGACCTGCCGGGCAGGAAAGTTCTCAACCAGCATCAGCTCTGGTTCAAAATGTGCTTGCTAGTTTTGAACATGCTCTCAGTTAAATGCTTTATTGGTGAGTCCTTTCTTCCAGAAGTTTTTATGGGGATTCAGAGTGAGGAAAACCTGCCAGAAGGGACTGGCACTGAAAACACAAATTCCACCCACTATTGGGAGACAGACGGTTTGCCTCAGTGTCAGAAAAGAAACGATTCTTAGGCTGTAAGAGGTCCCCTCAGAAGAAAATGTCTTCACGCCTCCATGCCCCAAGATATTCAAGAAAGAGGAGCCATGTGGCTGGATGAAGGAGAACTCTCCTGATAGCTCAGGTCCCATTCAGGTCAGGCACAAACCACCATGGGAGCCACTGTCAGAAAAGGAGCCAGATGACGCACTCTGTCCAAATGTGCAGATTGCAACAAAACATTTATTTGTGAATCACAGCTAACGATTCACCGAAGGTCACACACTGGAGAGAGGCCCTTCCAGTGCCAGGTTGGCTCCAAGAAGTTCATACAACCCTCAGACCTGCGAGTTCACCAGCGAGTCCACACAGGAGAGAAACCCCATAACTGTCAGATCTGTGGGAAGTCTTTCACCCACCAATCCATGCTTCGAGGCCACCAGAAGGTCCACACGGGGGAGAAGCCATATTCATTCAAGGTCTGTCACAAGCGTTTTGGACACAAGGGGAACGTCAACATCCACCTCTGCATCCACACAGGCCTCAGGCCCCACAGCTGCCCCGAGTGTGGCCAGGACTTCCGTCAACTTGGGAGTTTGAAATGCCACAAAAAAACCCCACATTCAAACGTGACTTCCTGAGGATTCCATCCCCCTTCTGCCTGAGGGGGAAATTAATTGTATCACCTGTGTTGGAAAAATGATGGATGTCAGGCTAAACCCACACGAAGTTTCTAGAATACAGCAAGGCTTCTATACTTTGGAATTCAGATCCTTGCATAAGCACAGACCCTCCTTACTGGTTTCTGTTTTCTGCCTCATTATAACCCACTGTTACTTTCCACACAGGATGTTTCCTGGTTGTTTATGATACTATTATTCTTCCAATAAAATGTAAGTCTTTTTCGTTGTTTCAATAAATAGTCCACAATTCAACCGTAATCTCTTGTCTTGTTGTTGTTGTTCTTTTCTCACTGTAGAAGGGGGTGATCCCAGTAGGGAGGCCAGATTTACCTCAGAACACCTGGGCAAGTGACCGTTTCGGCTTCTCTGTGCAGTTCCTGACACCTGGATTCCACTTTGAAGGGCAGAGTTGTTACAGAACAACAAGGGGGCGGGGGCTAAGGGTGGTAGACTATTACCTCAAGCAACCCCTCAGGTTCATTCTGGCTGCTGCCAGAGGAAACATGTCTCTCTCTCAAATCCCTTTTTGGGGCCTCCCTCTTGGCTGCACCCTGTTGCAATCCCTCCTTTCAGATTTACACCCACTTTAGAATCTTATAAAGGACAATGGACGAAGGTCTCATCTTCTTGTAACTACTTCCTGCTGGACATGGATGTTGTCCTACCTACCCTTGGGTCAGGGGTGCCCTGAAAGGGAGGGAGGTGCAGCACAGAGGGAGTCCTTCCTGTAAGGGGAAGGAGCTTACAGAATCCCAGTCAGCTGGTTGTCACCAGGAAGTCCCAGGCTTGGTGTCCAAAGGCTGGCATTACTGGGCCATAGGCATCCTGGTCATATTCTGGAAGTGACAGATTTAGAAAGAATTGGAAGGCACAGTTAAATCAGAACTACTAAATGACAAAGGTAGGGACTTAAGTAAAGAATGGCTTAGCTGGAGGAAGGTGTACAAGGCATGCTACACCTATCCAAAACCCTTGTGACTCACTATACTTCACTCGGGCTGAGGGGAATATTTTAGGATTTCCCTCCTTTCAGATATCTGGGCCCTTTCTGTCCAAGCCCTCAAGACACAAAATGGGAAATCAGTTCTAAAGTGAAGCCCAGAGATTGCCGGAACCCTTCACCAACCCAACCATGTAGGTTCAGCCAAATTGTTGAGTCTCAGGGTGATGATGAACATGGGCTCCTTAAGTGAGGCCTATATTGCAACCAATCCCTCAGGTAATGAGGTCATAGGCATATGCCCTACGAAAACAGAAGAACACACAGGTTAATTCACACAATCCTCAAACCAGTCTCTGTGCTGGGGAGATTGTCTTTTGGGAAGACATTCAGTTGCAAGACCCTTTCTGCAATGACATTTAGTGATGGCAATTGGACAGGTCCTCTGTACATGTAAATTGCACATCTTTGGTGATATTACAAACCCAGTTTCAACTTTCAAATGAAAATAAACTTTCAAGAGAGCTGCGCCATTCTGATGTCCAGTACTGAGCATTGTGATTTTCCTTGAACTGCAATTTTTCTCCTTAAGATCACCCTCACTGATATGAAAGGGACTACTTTGAGTCCTGCTTTTAAGTTTGCCTGTTCATTTGCATAAACACACCCAGAGCAGCCTGGATCACTTATTATCTTTAAGTCTGCTTTGCTGGAACTCACACAGGGAACCTTTAGATTGACATCTCAGTTCACCCCTGGGGGCACAGAAGCAGAGCCACACAACTGCCATGTAGTTTCACGTGTACCAGTAGTTTCACTCAAATCCTTGAGGCTTCCATTGTGCCTACAGGTTCCTTTTGGGCCATCTTTCAGAAAAGCAACCTTCATTCCTTCCCTGGAAATACTGTCACAAACTGCACAGCTAACCAAAGTACCAGGCTTTTCTCATGGTCTTACACTAGCTTCCCAAGTCAATCCCAGTTCCTCGGAGCTTTCTGGTGAAGACCAGACCCACACATGCCTCCTTCAGGTGTGACATTCCAGTCAAAGTCTTGGTTAACAAAACCACTATTAATGACTGGTCTTATTGGATTTATGAAAGGAAACCTTATGTCATCACTCACTCCTTCAGAATGCCAAATTCTGGAGGGATAAGGGAGAAAAATACAATGTGAAGGAAAATCCTTTTCCTTCTGATATACACCAGGCTTCTCAAAACTTTCACTTCCACTGACCTTCTGCAACATTCACAAACCCTCTAATCTTTCTTTCCTACACCTTCTTCATTTACATTATCTTTTACTTCCCCATTTACTTTCCTACAGAGTGTGACATTTCAACCTTCCCTGGAATCCTCAGTTTCCTTTTCAGAGCAGATACAGAGCAAAATCCAAAACACAGAGTTCCTGAACACTATACAGGTGGAGGCATTCTGTTGCACTAGTGTGTCCATTGGTGTCTCACACAGACATACTCCTTCAGGCCCGGTCTCTTGGCAGAGACATGCCTCCTTTGCCTCAGGCTGAAACACTCATCAGCCCCAAATGACCCCTCCTGGGGCCAGAGACGCAAAGGCATGCTCCCCACCTGGGGAGCATGAAACTGTAAGTGAGCAGACAGGGGCCACCTGGGAGCAGCATACTAACCAAACCATTACCCACAACTCCATTGTTCCAAAACTGTTCAGAAACCAGTTTTTAACCAAACCATTTCACTTTATTGCTCCCTCCCCATTCCCTTTCCTTTTCACCTTTCCAGGTGTGATTAGGCAGCCAATGCACTCAGGAGGAGCACAGAAAAAAATCTCTAGACTGGGAAAATTCTGTAGTCTCACTCTATCACACCTGAGGGGGTCAGTCTGCCATGGACAATTATTATCCCTGAGAAGTCGCCAAAAACTGTTACAGAACAAGGGGGGGACTAAGGGTGATATACTATTACCAAAAGGAACCCCTTGGGCTCATTATGTCTGCCACCAGAGGAAAGACATCTCTCCATGCCAGAGATTCCTGAAAAGGAAAGGAAATGTTTATTTAATTCCATACATACTTAAAGTAGTGACCTAATGCCGTCATCAAAATCACAAAGTCCCTTAAAACACTCACAATCACGCACAGTCCTTCCTTCCCCCTTTGTCCAGTCTGGGGGACCGTATCTCAGGAAAAGATATAGAAGTCAGTGGCTCAGGCAGACCCCAGTTCTTCCCAGTAATCCGTCTCAGCTGGTAGACCTCCCTCAGTTCCCGCCACCATCAGCTGTGTCACCAGGATCTCTTCTAAAGCCGGGTGGTGGTTTCCCCTAGGAAAGCTGTGGGGTCCCCACTCTGGCAAAGCCACAGGATTCTCTTTCTATTGCCCTAGCCACGTAGTCCTCTCTGCACAATGGCTGCAGTAGTCTCTACTCTGCCAAAGCCACGTGGTTCTCCTTTCATTGCCCCAGCAGTGTGGTCCTCTCTCCTAGGGCTGAGGATCACAATTCTGTCAAAACCGCTAGGTCCTCTCTCCACTGGCTTCAAGGAGGGGGGGTTGCCACTCTACCTAAGCCGTGTGGAGGTTCTCTGCTAAAGCCGTATGGTGATTCTCTCTCGCCAGGCTGCAGGAGTCCCCACTCTCCTAGAGACCCAGTGATTCTCCCCCTACGCAACGGCCACGGAGTCTGGGTTTAAATCCCCATGCCAATCTTCCTCTGCAGCCCCATTTCTGACTCCTCCCCGAATTGACCACACCTGCCAGCACTCCCATATCCTTCCAGCTTCACTTGCTCCCATCGTGGTTCTGGGCAGGTGTGGCCCCATGTCATGGAGCCAATTCTCTCCAAGCTCCCATGCAGGCACTGGAACTCAGCGGACTTGCCCCCCAGGTATGTCTTGGTGGGGAAGTTACTTCCATTCCCCTGGCTCAGAGCATGGCCACAGCTATTTAACATGTCTATGTAATCAGTTAAATGTTACAGATATGTTAAATGACCATACCAGAGGTTAGCTGCAAAGCTGTTGCTATGCAAAACAGCTCTCAATGGCCCTGCTCCATTTGTCCCTTCCGCCAACCCACACCTGGAGGGGGGGGTGATGACAGCCTAATATTTCCTGGACACCTTGAGTTCTAGACCCCATTCTCAATCCCTATTTGGGGTCCCCCCTCTTGGCTGCACCCTGTTACAGACTGAGGGTTTAGAAGGAGGCTGAGTAGGGCCACGTGTGGCAAACAATCCAGTCACTGCCACCTCTAGCTGCGCCCCCCAACCTGCTGCATCCACACAGTTTAATTTGATTGTTGGAAATTAAAACCTGCCAAAGCAGAAACTGGGGGCGTGGGTCCCACGTGCTGGTTGAACCAGCCCTCCAGGTGGTTGTCATACAAGTGGATCCCTGAACTGCAGCCCTTCCTCCCTGGTTCTTAGGCCTGGAGTCATCTGATGGGAGATTTGCTTCATTCCAGTTTTATTTTGAAATCATTCTAACGACATAAGACTTGCAACAAAAGCTAAAGGAAGTCTCGAGTATTAAAAATAGGCCTGAGAGCTGCGCAGGTGAGTGAATTTAAACATCCTAAGGGGACAGGGTGACTGGGTTTGCTTGTATTTCTTCCCATCCCATTGCCTCCACTGGTGCTCTTTTTAGAGACTTGAAGGTGGTTTTGGTCTCCAGAAAGGCCACAGTTGTTTCTCAAGCCAGCAGTTCTCACTGAAACTCTTGCAGCACTAATGAACTTGAACTCAGCCATGAACTAGCTTGTCCTTTCCCATGTCACTGGCTTCTCTCCTGCCCCCTCCTCGGCCTCACAAACTCCTTGTTCCCCCCCCCCAGGTTTATAAGTATCAACACCCCCTTTTTATGGGTAAATTACCTCAGATTGTTAGAATGAAAAATTAAAAAATTATTGACGTGTACACGTTCACCATGGAGCAATGATAAAATACAGAGAAAATTAAAAAAGACATCTTAGAAATGTGCTTTGAAAGCACAGAGTTTTTAAAAAAAATGTAAGTGGTTTTAAAAAATATTTTCTAAGAATTTCTAAACAATTCCTGTTAATACCCAGAGATATTTGTTGTTCACGTGTTGGCAAGAAACAAGAGATTGGGGGTGGGCGTTGTTACATTTGGGAGCACTGAGGTTGAAAATGTTAAATGTTGCCAGGTTAGCAGCGTGGGCAATTATCTTGAGTCGTTGATGTTAAAGAAAAACATTTCTGACAGGGCAAGGTTCAAGGTC